TGTTTAACATGAAATAAACAAGAGAGACATAGTCGAAACTCACCAAAATGCTGAGTTGTTATTATTTTGGCCGCAGCTGTATCTAAGTAAATATGGATGTACATATTTATGAATACTATCACACACAAACACTTTGAACAATTTGGTGAAGCGTCGAGCAATTGATGGCTTTAGTACAGGTTAAGTGTAAAATATTAATGGGCACTTTTTGTTAAATGTTTTATTTTATTTTTTAATTACTGATTCTTGTAGATGGTTGTGAATTTTTTTGGCATAAATTTATTTGCGCAAGTGTGTATGCATTTTATATAAAACATTGTCATAATAAAGTATTTGCGTATAAGTACTCGCATGTACTAAATATATATACATTTTATCAGTTGTTCTGCTTGCCAAAGTTTTTGTTGTTTTCGTTGGTATTGTAACCATGTAACAGCAATATTGAAGATACGAGTAGCAAATTGAAAAATCATTTCAGCATCACAGTATTTCATATGTATATACATACGTATTTTTGACTTTATTGTATGTCGATTGACACGCCATGTCCTCTTACAATTTTGACGGTATATAAGAAAAGGGAGAACGAAATAATTAAACGATCAAAATATTTGCTGATTTCATGTTTGCTAAGAATTTTCCTATAATTCTGATACCCATCTTAGTGTTATCAAATATATTGGTGGGTCTACTACGTTCAGTTTTAGGCCGGCTTCGCACCATAGGCGATTTTTATGAGAAGAAAAAAAATAACGAGTATCGATGAATTTGTCTCCAAAAGCTGATCTTCTACAATTTTCTGATTCATCACCAAAAAAAAACTGACGATTTCTTTCGAAATTTTTTTAGTCCCATAATGTTTATTAAACTAAAAACTTCGAAAAATATGTTGGCAGGCTGCGCTCTAGTCGACTTCAGTTTCAGACTTAGATCAACTCAGATCCCTGTAAGTACCTTGGGCAGACCATATGTTAGGTTAGTTTAGGTTACGGTGGTTTCCACGCTGCACAGCAAACCGAGAAGCACAGCTAGACCAGTTATTCTCGTTGTGACGCAAGCTTTTATTCTGTTCTTTCAATTTCCCATGTGATTGCTTCGCAGTAAATTAGCCAAACACTGGAAGAAATAACTACTATTAATCGTGATTTTCATAGACGAGGCAGTCCCACCTTTTCTGGTTCCTGAAGCTAAGAAGAAAATCGACATGTGTTCTCATTACGTAACTCTTCCCGTTGATATTAGGACACATTTGCTTGGTAATCCAACGCGTTTGCCCATATGTCATTTGGCAACTCAATGAATTCTGATCTGAAGCTGGTGTTTGCCTGATATCAGCGTAGGTTTGGTTTTAATAAAGAAATCGCCCCTGAGGAAGCTAAGAAAATTAGCGAAACGTCGGGCTGCAATGTGAAGAAAGTTTTTTCTTGCACTCAACCCCATTAGGTCAATTAGCCTAGAATCCAAAAAGGTTAGTTCCTTCGGTTGGTCTTTGCGAGCTCGTTTGCTACGAGGATTTCGGATATTTCATTGTATCCAGGTACATACCATACCACTTAGATGGTGAGTTTCGCGGCCACCAACCGCTGACCGAATAGAAAGGTTGCTCGTATATGTAAGTATTCTGTCATAACCCTCAGCTTGCTCATGTTAATCATATTAATCGGCGTTGTCTTTCCTTGAGANGTTCTCTTCTCTATGTAAGTCGAATAAGCTCAATAAATGCTACGCATGGGTCCTTTGAAGAGGCACTTTGTAGCGTACGCTTGGGTGGCAGTTACGCCCTCAGCGTGGCGAGCTGAAGGAACACCAAAGCAAATAACTCATTCGAAATGTGAATGAAATGAAATAAAATAAAATTATTTACAAAATAAAACGGCGAAAAGGTGACACTCAGCAAGCAGATGGGTGGGTGGTCGATGTGTATGTGTGCGTGCGTGGGGCTGACCTTGGCATGTGTGGCCGCAGATTTTCCCCCTACGCCACCTTCTTCATTAATTTCTAGATTTATATGCACCCAGCTACTCGTTTGGAGATCCACATTTACATGACATACATACATACATACATACTCCATAGATATAAAGGCATACACACACTGCCGCCGCACATAAACTCAAATGAAAACTAATCGAAAGGGTGTCATTATTTCCTACTTTGCAACAACAGCTAGCTAACCGACCGCCGCGGCTTGAATGAGCTCTCCGGGGTGCACTCTTACTCACACTCTTACTCTTATGCCACGCTTGAATTCGTGGTCGGCCTATGGTGGAGGACGCTGACGCTGATGAATTATTGTGACAGGCCGCAGAAAACCTATTAAATTTGAGTCTAGATGGCGCTACTTAAATTTGTCAAAATGTCTTTTTTTACGCGCGCGCTCCGTGCACAGCGCCCAACCGGTTTTGGTGCGGCTGCTCACACGAATGTGGAATTGGATACTCGCACGCACACAAGGCAAAATGTGGTACATATGTTGGCAACAACAAAAACAACAACAACGGCGCGCGAAACTTTGATTGATATCGAAATGTCACGCAGACGCGCATGTGGCTAATAGGGCCTGCGGTTCTAGCCATTTGCTATTCGTTTGCCGTTAACCATTTGCTATGCGAATTGATTTTGGCTCAATGAATTAGCCACATTTGTTGGCGCGAAATTGTTGTGTGAAAAATTATATGGGGCTCAGCTCGCAGCTGCCTCCCCAAATTAGACATTTATTTTTTTTTAAATCAGCACATGTGCACACGTTCGTACAAGTATGTGTGTAATTCTAAATATATTTTTAAATTCATGCGACGCTTTCGGACTTAGACAGGCGGGTGACAAATGTCGCCATTTTATTTGGCTTGTACATCTAATGGGTATTCCTGATTTAGGAATAAAAAATGGCTGCACAATTAATTGGTTTACGGACTATTAAAATGTAAATACAATTTTATTAAAGTATCAAATTTTTTCTGGATCTGGAAAGTCTTTTCCTATTAGTGGTATTACTATCATGAAAAAGCTTCTTATCAAAACACTACTTACTTCCCTTTCGTAAAAAATGTAAAACTTTGGACCCCCATTTGTCTTACTAAAAAGAAGGTAAAAAAGCTCCAGATTCATTTAATATTTACTTAAGTAAATAATTTAGTTTTAAAAAATCAAAGCATATCTAGGAATGTTGATATCGATAACAGTATCGGCGACTATTTATAAAAGAACGTATCGAAATAGAGAAGAAAGAGGAGACTGACTTCCTAGCAGAAACCGGATTATTCTTACTACCGGTGAAACCAGGCCAGGCGTCTATCCCTCATTTGATTATAATCTAAGATAATTATCTAAGGGCAGAATAATACTTGGTAAAGGCATCGAAGTTCCTATGTATTTTATCATTTTTAAGGCAGTGTTGAAAATTCCTATTTCAGATACTTACGGAACACTGCCTCAAGCGCTCAAGTTAGGACGGACATGAAGTGAATGTGATTTGGAACGCATTTCCGATAGACCATGTAAAATTTGGTTTGTAGACAAACAGTTCAGTGTTGTACAATTTTTTGGACCATTTACCTGCGATGACTAAAAAAATATTCCACAGACCTGGCGTGATGGCGGGAAACTGATCCGAACTTGAATTCAGTCACCGTAAAAATAGGCTGTATATTGATTTTTTTTTTGACAGCATCAAAGTACGCCTTGACAAATAAAAACTATAGACCAGTCACTAGCAGAGTAAAACTAACTAACCTGACAATTTCTAGTACTGGGCCTCGGTGGCCTAGATTTCAATAAAAGTTATTCTTTTCATTTAGAGAACTATTCCAAATAGAATATGCTTGACAGATCAGAAATAGGTTCTTTCTTATATTAACTATGCTCTTTGGTATTTTCCAACTTTCTGTCGGCCTACTCAAATTGACTTGTTTATGTGGTTGCATGGGCTAATAACAGTAATCAAAAACGACACGCGGCAGTCGTTGATTCAAACAATCCCTTAATGGTATTCAACGGAAGACAATCACCAACTTCTTCGAACTATGACCCGGAGAATAACTGCTTAGCTATGCCTGCGTACCTCTGGCGTTGATCTCCTACTTACGCAGACTTAATCCCGACTTTTCATATTTAAAATGTTGCCTACAAAATTTTATTCGTAAAAAAAAGTATTAAAAATTACTCCACTTTTAGTTGGTCACTTTCAAAAATTTTAAATTTTTTGTATCATTCAACTTTTTGCCATTGGNATCCAGCTGCTGGCACAATGCACAAATATAAATAAAGTGTCATGGCGACGAGAACGAAAGAATACATCAAAACAACAAGCACCTGCTGAGCGGCGCGACCGCCCGCCGTTGCCTATGCGCCTGTGCTGGTCTGAGATGTGGCAAGTGTTGCATCAACTCCGATTCCATAACGCCTAATCCAGTGCAGTGCGCGCTGTGCAGGCGCGGCGCTTAGCGGCAGGTACGCGCGCCAAATATAATGTTGGCTAATAAAGTCATGAATTACGTACATACATATGTCGGGCGCGGCTGTGAAACGAAAAGACGCTGCGCTCCAAGTAACGAGGTCTGCCGATTGACCGACTATGAGCGTCACTACCAAGCAGGCCACAACGCCCGCGTTTCCCCCCATTAGGATTCATAAATAAGCGAATGTGTTGTGGAGCGACAGCAATAATGGGACATCCAGCCGGTGCGCGCAATGAGCGACCACTTCGAGCGCGCAACGCGACGAGGTATTAGCCTGGATACGGCCAGAAAATTGGTCCCGCTGGCACGTCTGAGTTATGTTGACGCTATTTTTGGGCGCATTAACCCATTAACGCTTCGCAACTGCTGCACTGAGGCGCCGTTGTGCAGAGCAGCGTTTTCTTTTTTACTTTACTTCAGCACAGCAATAGTTCTTACGATTGAACCAATAAACCAGTCAAAGTATTTAGTTTGCAACATTTCTCTTTAATATTTGCACTTTACTTTATTCGCTTTTCGTATTTTTTTTTTCTTTCGTTGCAGTTATGGCGCCAGTTATGATTTAGCATCGCGGCGGAAGAATGCAACGCGTGAGTCCACGGCGACGTTAAAGGCCTGGCTTAGCGAGCACAAGAAGAATCCGTACCCAA